TGGGCAGAAATCATTTCCATGCCTACTGGACCAAAATCATTTGCAAGTTATCAATCTTCCCAAAATTAGTATCACTGTTCCAAAGCATGGACCCCAGGCCACAGTAAACAGTAAATCAGGTGGCAGTGCGGTTCCCCAGAGTGGGGCCAGACAGCTTGCTCTGCAAAAGGGAAGACAGTAAATAACCTCCCACTGTGTAGACCACATGGCTCCTGTCGCCACCACTCAAGAGCCATGGATGCAATGTGCAAAGCAGCACAGACAAGAGGCACAATAATGAGCGCCACTGTGTCCCCAAACAGCCCAATCTCCCAGAACAGGTAGCATCCACCTGTGTCCTGTACCTCCATGATTCCAATAATCACCCATAGGGGCATCAGATAATGCACTTCTGTGGCCTTCAAAGGACACTCGGCCATCTTTGTGTCTATTTCCAAGCCTCTGTCCTATCACACAGGTGTGAAAACCAGAAAGGGAAAGCAACTTGGCCAGGAGCAAACAGCAGAGCTGGGTTGAAGCGTGGACATCCCCTGTCCTGATTCTTTGGCAGCCAAGACACTGCCCACCTCTCACTGCAGGAGGAGGGCTGGTCCAAGAGGGAAGTTTCCACCCAAGAGTTCCTTTTGCTTCCTTCAGGGAAAATTCCTTCCCCATGTCTCCAAAGGAAGCCTTGGAGGAGCAAAAGGTCTTTACTCTCTTCTCTGGAAGCAGATCCTGGAGGACGCCATAACACAGACCCGGGGCAGATCCGTGAGCCCCCTCCTGAGGCAAGTCACGATTTAAACACAAGTCTGACAGGAGACATCTTCACCGAACAATCAGAGTGGCTCCCGCAGGGATTCTGGCTGACTGCTGAGGGGAAGGCCGTGAGGAGATGGCGTCACCTCACTGAAGCCTCGAAGGTCCTTCATTCAGTGGGAATAAAGGCACTCTGTTCCCTTTTCCTTCTCAAATCAACGCTCCCCACCACCACACACACACTCAAACCTGCTACAATCGTCCATAGTCACTAGGGCCATAGTCACACAGCCCCACGAAGTGATCTGAAATGAAACTATCTCTGTGCTCAGCCCAGGAGTTCGCTGTCTTTGCTTTTTTGCATACTGGGTATTGAATCCACTGAGCCACACACACACACATCCCCAGGATGATCTCTTTTATTCTGAGACAAGGCCTTGCTAAATTGCCCATGCTGGTCTAGAATTTGAGATCCTCCAGCCTCAGCCTCCCAGAGTATGGGGATTATAGGTAGGCACAACCACACCTGTCAGTCGTGGCTCTTTAAGGAAGCACAGCTTGTCGTTAGGAGGAAGAAGAAATGGGAGAGGAACAGAAAGGGGTGTACTTTGAAAAGGTGCTTAACTGACAGCTTGAGGAGGAGACTCTGGCTCCGCTTTACCAGCATCTACTCCCTGTGGGGTGCTTCTCTCACCTGGCTTCCTTTATCCCTTGCCACTGTTTCCAAGTTTTGACGTGTGGGCTCAGAGCCTAACGCACAGGTCTGGCTCAGGCCTGTGGACCAGGCCTGGGGCGCAGCACTCGATACTGACTAACTCCATCCTCACAGCTACCTGATGCAAAGGGCACAATTTCCATCACCCCCACCATACAGGAGAGGAAATCAAGGTATGAGGAGTTTCTGTAAGTGTCCAGGAGCCCACAGTTAGCAAGTGGTAAAACCCAGGTTGAATCAAAGCAACCAGGCTCTTGAGATCATGTGTTTAACCATCCTACTTACCTGCTTCCAAGAGCTCAAAATCCAACAGGCAGTGGGCACAAAAGGAAAAATGATGTGTCTGAGACCCAGCAAAAATAATCTAAATCAAATGCTCCCACTCAAGTGTAATTTTTGGCTGATTTGCTCTTAGGAAAATCTGTCACGTGCAAGGCTTGGAGGAGAGAGGTGGGGGAGGGGCTTCCGAGCCAGGCCTGGGCTTCTGGACGTCAAAGGCAACTCGGTTACTGCATATTTCCTGGGCAACTGGTGCACATCACTGCAGGTGCTGCGGCTACACATATGTTGCTACAGGTACTGAACCCGGCTCCAGATGATCTTTGCACATCACAGTTTCCCGTGGTGCAGAGCACCGGGTGTTCAGCTCAGTTTCTCCCTTGATTATGGTGGCAGTCAGGCCCATGACACAAGCTGGGTAGACAGAAAACAGTGGTGCCCTGTGGTCACCAAGATCAGCACCATGTAGGAGAACATCTCACTGTTGTCTTTATGATGAAATGGTCCCCCAGAAGAAACAACAGAGTTCTTCTCCCCAGTATACAAGGGGACAAGATGTGGTTGTTGCTTCCCAGCTCCCCCTCCCCCCAGTTCACCCAGCCCCAGGGTCTTTCTCCTCCTGCCTCCCAGAGGGCAAGGAATCCCCAGGGCAGATCTGGACCAGGTACCTGTGAGTGCATCAAGATTTATTTGTCCAAACTACTCATAGTGACTCTCATCTTTCTCCCCAGGGATCAAACTAAGCATGGACATGTGACTTGCTCCACGCCAGTGACATGCCATTGGGAAGTCTGCTGGTGGGCATCTAGGAAACAGAAAAAAACACACAAGAACAGTCCTTTCTCATCTTCCACTGACCGCTGTCAAGTCTCCCAGAGCTCAAAACTGTGGCAGCCACACTGTGACCACGAGGAAGAAGAAGTAAATGGGCTGAGTGAGGGTGGCAAGGCAGAAAGAGCTGCTAAATCAAGTCGATCCTATTCACCCTACCTCCTACTCTTGAGAAAAAAGGAGTTTCTTACTGCTCAATGACATGAGTCTGACTTTGTTTATTGTAGCCCAGAACACCCTAAGCCAGTGCCCTGCCAGAAAAACATAATTCGAGTCACAAATGCAAGCCATTCGTACTATGTTCAATTACCTAGCAGTCATAAAGTAAAAAGAAACAGAACTTACTTTAACACATTTTATTTAACCCAACAAACCAAGTCACTATGCCAACAAATAATGCAAAAAGTCACAAAGATGGGTACCTTCCAGTCTTCTTTGAAATCAGCGCATATCTTACACTTGTGGCCCATCCCAAATGGTCACCTTTCAAAGGCTTACTGGCCACGTGTGATTAGCATCTGCATTCCAAACGATGTCCTCCTCCACCATTGCCACATCCTGTATTCCCCTCCTAATCTCCCACGGAGCTGGTCATCTGCGAGCCACACCTAGTACCCAGGGTCTCGGTCACTCCACTGCTCCCTGGCACCCTGGGCTCGCTCCGTGCAGCCTGGTAGTTGCTCCACCCTCAAAGCTGACTCAGAGACAGGTGTCACCCTCCAGGCCTAAAAGGAGTTCCGGGCACACAGAGGCAGGGCCAGCCACAGTTCTGCTGTGGAGACCACACAGCATGACAGGACGAGGAGAGAGGCTGAGAGGCCTGCCCTTGACAGTCTCAGATGGTGACAGTCATGATGGTGGGGATGGGGCACAGCCAGCCTGCCTGGGCACAAAGCAGTGTTCTGACAGTGACCATGTGCGTGACTCTGAGAAGCGACGTCAGTGCCGATGCCTGTTTCCCCCGCCGTAACATGGGCATACAAAGGCCAGCTACTTCATAGGATTCCAAAGCAGGTTACATAGACTGATGTCAAGGCGCTCAGCAGGGCATGGGCTACCTGTTTGCTAGAGTTTTGTGATTTTTAAAAAGAAGGGAAAGAAGAAGACTGAGAGGCAAGCAAACTAATCTACTCAGACAAAGTAAGCTAAGAGCAGGAAGGGAAAAGAAAGAGGAGGGATTCCACCATTGAACGGCAAAGTCAAATCAACCCTTCACCACATCCACTCACTCGCAACACACAAAGGAGATCCAGGACAGAGCCAGAGGGGGCTCTGCTCTCCAGTACCTGGGTCCCCTTCCAAAGCTTCGGAGCTCCTCTCCCATAAGAAAGCCAGGCCATCGGGGCTGGGGATTTAGCTCAGCGGCATAAGCGCCTGCCTTGCAAGCAGGCAGTCGTGAGTTCGATCCCCGGTACTGATAAAAAGGAAAAAGACAAAGAAGAAAAAAAAAGAAAGCCAGGCCACCACCTCCACCCTCCCGTGGCCCTTGGGAATTGGGGTGGGGGTTGGGAGAGAGAGAAGCCTGGGAGACAGTAGAGAGAGTCAAGAGGAGCAGGAAGCCAGGGGCCTGCAGCTGCAGGCTGGAGGCTGTACCCTGTAAGACTGGACTGCAAGGCAGGGGGTACCCCCCTAGCCCAAGTCCTCTGGGAGCAGCAGTGCAAGGTTTTCAGGCTCTTATCAGTCTGGTGGCTAAACTGGAGCTTTCCATCTGAGCCACCCATCAGACAGACCAGTGCTGGGAGAGACAGAAGGGCATGGGGGCTGGACAGGGAGATGGAAAGAGAGGAAGGGAGCCGGAAGGAGAGAATAAACAGGGAGGAGGAAGAGTGACCTCTGCATTCTGCAGGAGCCCTCAACTCCCCAGTCTCCAGCCTAGCTCCTCCCAGTCTGTCCCCACATCCCCTCCTTTCCCACTGGAAGGCTGGCCTACAAAAAGGGGTGGGCATTCAGTGCTGTGGTGTCCCCTGGGGCTCGTCACCTTCCATCCTGCCCTGGCCTGCCCTGAGCCCTACCTTCCAGCCATCTCTCTGCCATGTCTGGGCTTCTGGAATGTGGCCACCCCTAAATTATCAGGGCAGGTCCCACGGGCAGTCCCCTTCCCCAGGAGAAGAGAGGAGACTGAGAACCGCACGGTGCTGCCCAAGGCCACTGGGCCAGGAGCTGGCAAGCTAGGCCTTGAACTTGACTCTGCTCTCCTGCTGAAAAGCCTCTCTCTCACCGGGGTGAGGCAGGCCCATCTGCTTCCTTTCTGCCCTTCCAGAGCCCCAAGTGCAGCCAGAATCAAGATGACACCGCAGCTTCCCTGGCAGCCACAAGTGACCACTGGGTCTGCTCCAGCCAGTGGGGTGGAGCAGAAATGAAATGTACCAGCCGGTCCCTCTCTGACAAGGAAGGGGCAGCTTCCCTCCCCACTTCCTGCTGCAGCGTGAGGCGGGTGAAGAAGCAGCCGGGCAGGGCCCACGGTGATAAGGGCACATCTGCTCTGGGAGTGCGCATGCAGACCCCAAAGGGATTCCGCATGCAGACCCCAAAGGGATTCCTCTACACCGCTCCCTATTCCCGCTGCGGATCTTAGCCCAAGTGAATAAGGGCATCATCCTAGGAAAGGGGCGCAGAACCCGGCTCAATCATTCTCTTCTCCAGGTACACAGGCAGTGGGGTGGGGGAGGGCAGGATTACAGAGAGGACACAAAAGGACACACTGGCCGGTTGTGTTACACGGTCTCTGCAGGGATGGGACTCAGGAGTAGGGGGAGGGGCTCCTGCCGCACCCTGCACAGCTCTCAAAGGTCCTAGGGGTAAGGATGGCGAGAGAATAGAGAAGTAAAGATGAGGTAATATACAAAAAGCTGAGATCAGGTGGAGCCTTTTCTCCGGAAAGAAGAAAAGGAACTGCTCAGCCTCCACAGTGTGTTTGTTTACACATTTAGAAAGCCAGTGTCAGGTGAAACCCCCTTGCCTAACCATCAGCTCGCCTCTCGCACCCCATATTCTCAGAGCGGAGCACCTGTCCGTCTGGGGGCTCCCTGCCCTCAGTGCGCTTGGCTCCATCTCTAGCGCGGCAGCTCCCTGATAGGTTCTGCTGCCCCAGACACCCTCCTCCAGTCTGTTCTCCCTGCAGCTGGGCCAATCCCTTTTAAACAAGACATGCCCATTTTCCTCAGAATAACCCGCAAGGATAACAAGCAGGAGGGCACCCTTCCCCAGGCTGAGTCCTGCCCTGTGGGGTCCCTTCTTTCCTGGTTGCTTTTTCACACCTGTCGGACAAGCCTGCCAGCCATGAGGTCCTGGGAATCCTGCTGCAGCATCCCTCCCGCCCTTTCAGATCTTAGCTGAAGTGTTGAGCTGTGTGCCCCCCACCCTTCACCTCATAGCTGTAGCCTTTGGCTGGGGCCTGCCAGTCTTTGTGTGTCCCCCTGCAACCTCCCCCATGCATGTTGCAGCCTCCCTGGTCTATCTGTGTCTGACACAGAGATTCTCAGGAAATCTTTGGTGAATGAGTGAATATCTGGTGGAGAAGGGAAACTGAGCCCACAGCCCACTAAACAGAACATGCAGCTGACAGCTGGCGCCTACTCCTTGGGAAATCCTCTATCCAGGCCTGTGGCCCATCAAGCCTGCCAGGGCTGTAGTTCTGTGAGCAAACTGAAAAACAACTGTTGTTTTAATTGTCAGATTCTCGGGAGGGGAAAGAGAGAAGAGGGATTACGATGCAGCCACAGTTAACCAAAACAACATTCTTTGGACTAATATAGTCCTTAATGCTTGCATTTTATCTTCAACTCAGGATAACACTGCTCCCCTCTGGGTATTCTGGAATTTCAAAGGGTGTATAGTGTATCACAATGCCAGGTTTTGGAAATGGAGTAAATTGTACTACTGGCATTTAATGCCCATGGGCACAGGAATATTGAGTTTCTCCCGGGCTTGAGATAGTCACCCACAATGAATCACCCCAAAACAGTGACTGACAATAGTGCTCCCATGGAAAATCATTAAGTCACAAAATTAAGCCTTAGTGGAAAACATGGTTTAAAAGATAACAATGAGATAAAAATATAAATATTTGATGTAAACTGCTTTCTAAGGAAAGAAAACAAAGGTTCATCTAGATGCCAATTTTGAGTTCATGGAGTCACTGCCAGAAGGGCTGTCTGGAAAGTTGTACTGAGAATGTGCTGAGGGAGACACATGTGGAATCATCATGAAAAGGGTGCTGTGATCAATTAGTAATGTCAGCCATTGGCAAGGAAAGGAGTGTGGTGGGCTATGGAAATGGTGCTGTGATCAGTTAGTGATGTCTGTCCCTGGCAAGGTAAAAAATCTACTGACAAGGCAATCCATCATTTTGGCATCCAAACTGGAACATTTTGAGGAGTAAAAGAAGACTTAATCTTAATAAGGACATTGGAGCCATAAGTTTAAAAAAAAACAAAAAAAAACTGGGCCTTTGACAGGACACACTGCCCCATTGCCATGCCATGAATTTTGGCCCTCGTACTTTCTGATCTGGTGCTTAGAGATAACCAAAGTTGGGGCTGTCTAGCCCTACAAGCCCCTGAGATGTTAGATATTAATTTTTCTTTTAAGTACTCTGTTTCAGTGTGTGGCTAGGTATGAAAAATTGTTCTAAAGAACACATTAAAAATTAATTAAAAGAGTTTCCTCTAATATTTAATCTTAGCAGCCATGTACTCTGAGTGATGTATTCCCAGGCAGTGTGTCAGGTTCTGAATAATTAAAAAAGAAGGGGAATCTGATTCAGCCCCTGAATGAGGCTGCCAGGGGTTTTAGAACCAGTAGAGAACCCAGGATTTTATCCCCTGAGAAGTTCCACTTTGATTGACAGGCTGCAGCCCAGTAGCAGCTCTAAATGCTGGCACTGCTATCGGGGGTGCACGGTCCAGGTGAACTGTAACTCAGAAGGAGATTGAGCTCAGTTCAGTTCTGCTGACTCTTCACCCCTGAGCCATCCCACCTGTTGTCTCCCAGGAAAAAGGAGGGCACACTGGTGAATTATGGGAGGCTCCCCAGGCCTCCTCAGGAGTCAAGAGCGTTCTGTCCCCTCCAGACATGTGCATCTTCCTTTTGCAACATTTCAGAAATCGAAATGAGAGTTCAAAGCAATGGGAAGACATTAGGGGGACTTCTTAGAGGTGTCCCAGAAGGATCATTAGGAATAGGGCTCTGGAGACACACTCTCAGCCTGAACCCTGACCCCACCACACCTCCTCTCTAAGTTCAAGCTGTCAATGGATAATAATCTTGAGTGTAGTGCTTGGCAGGTAACAAACTGGCAATATATGTCAGTTACTATTTTCTCAGGCTTATCCTCTGTGTGCTTTTGTGAGGTTGCTGGTGGATTTAAAACTAGACATTCTCTCCAATGTGGCCTCCATACTGCTGACGTTAGAAGGAGCTCAAAGATAATAACTCCTGATCTCACTCTGTGTGACCTGCAAAGTACAGACTATGGCCTATTGCAGGTATACTGGGTAAGAAAAATTCACATTTGACAACAGGACTTCATTTGGCGTCATATCCACTCAACTAAACATAGGAAAGATGATTCACTTCCCACCTTCCAACCCTCCTCCTTCTCATACTTTGATGCCCTAAACTGAAGACATATAATTTAAAGGAAGAGAAGTTCAGTGCAGCTTATGTGTTGGGGGCTCAGATTGTGGTAAGTCAGCTCCAAGGCAGAAACAGCATGATGGAAGGACCTAGCAGAGAAAAGCTGCTTAACTCGTGGCAGCCAGGAAGCAGAGAGAGAAGAGAGGAGTTAGGCAGAGCGACACACCTCCAATGACACACCTCTTCCAGCCAGGCCCCACAGCATACTCCGCTAAGAACTCATCAATGGATCGGTCTACTGCTGGGTACAGTGCCCCATCATGCAACTTTTCACCTCTGAATGCATGAGAATAGGGGGCCTTCTAGATCTAAACCATATCACAAGATTTCTTTGCTTTCTGCCCTAACATCACATTTAAGGCTTTGGAAAGAAGAAAAAGAAAGTTTAATTTTCAAAAAATCATTTTATATAAAATAAGGCAGCAGCTTCTAGCCATCATGGCAAATGGCAAACCTTGTAGGCCAGATGGTTCCAGAAAATAAGAGTCCCTGAGCTGGCCTCTTGGTTCACATGGACTGCTCTCCGTGTCCCCACCCCCTGGCATGTGTGATTGTAGGGATGATCAGCTTCATAGAAAGTACTTAGTAAAAACTGTCTGTTCTTAAGACCCAAAGATTGCTCAATCCTGCATCAGACAGAGTCATCAGAGGTAAATAACATACTTGTGAAAGGCTGAGGCAGATGGAGGCCAGCTTAGGTTACATAGTCAGTTCAAAGTCAGCCTGAACTACAATGTGAGACCCTGTCTTAAAAGAAAGAAAAGAAAAGAAGAATAAATAGAAAGAAAGAATCTGTTTGGGGCAGCAGGTCACTCACAGAAGCCCTCGAGGGGCATGGAGAGCTACACTAAAGCTCTGTAGCACCACGCGGCAGGGACTCTCAGAACACTGCTCCCTCTCGTTGTAGGAGGCTCTTCAGACACCGAGTCAGTGACTGGTGCACTGCTGGGCTGCCCTGAGCATACGAAAACTTCCCAGTTGTCCAGGTCCTCTTTGTAAAAGCACTTCCTCATGGCTTAGAACACTGGGCTTTCAGCATTCAGTCCAACTTGCAAGACCTAATGGGTTCTGTCCCAGAATGCCAGGAAACCCAGAAATATGTCTTCTTTTCATCTCCATAGGCCCAGCTCCAAACACTGGAAATTGTCCAAAACGGAGACAGCCAATGAGTGAGGAGCTGCCATGGGTGACCAATGCTTGCTCTATGCTACTCTGCACCTTAGGATGTGGGTGAACTTGGCATCAACCATTGTGCCCATTTTAAGTGATGCCAGGCCCCCATTACAGTTTCATGAAGTTACACTGGCCCTGTCACTTGTCTCATAGGAAATTCTGTCAACAGTATGGATTGCATGGTTCTGTAATTTTCTATAACACTGGAGAATTCACAAGAAAGGATCATCTGTCCATAACCCAGCCTCTTGTCATCTCTCCCCTGACCTGTTCTAGATCCCAGACTGGCAGCATTTCCAATGCCCGTACCTGAGAATCCTGACTAATACATTTTCTGTCTTTCATAAGTATCTGTTTTCATTGTTATTGATATCAACTTCATCTCTCTGAGATGCCAGAGCCTTTTTTGAGGGACTTCATGATGTTCAGAGTTTCCTGTCTGGTTAAGGACCAGCTGACATCTGACCTTAACTTATGATCAGGAAGAGAAGGCTGGAGCTGTCTGGCTGAGCACCATTCCATTCCCACCTTCCTCTTGGGTCTCCTCAAAGCAGAGCTAGAGATCAGGCCTGGAATAAATAGGAGCAGTATATTAAGGAGTTCATCCTAGGAGGCACCCCAAAGAGAGTGAAGAATGGTGAGCAGGACCTCAGGAGGCCAATAAAGAGTACATTAATGAATGGGAGTCCACTGCGGGCAACCAAAGCTCAGTCCCATGGACTTGCTCTGAGAGACTGCTGATTGAACCTCAGGGAAAAGAAAGCTGGCTTGCCACCAGCTCCAGTTGGCTGATAGTGCCTCCCGGGACATCCATGTTGGCCCTGCAGCCTCCTCAGTCCCATCTGGGCTTGCATCAGAGGCAAGCTCATGCACAAAGACAGCAGTGTGGCAGGCGGGAGCCACCCTGGGTACACCAAGCTGCAGGTGACACCAGGGCAGCATGGAGAAGACACACAGTGCAGACCAGCATCTACCACCATCAGGCATTCCTATGACTGCTACAACCCCCAAAACCAGATGGCATCAAACAGCCAGTGCATATTGTGCCCCAATCCTGAAGGCTAGAAGTGTGGAAACCAGCAGCAGCAAGGCCCTGCTGCTTCTGCGGGCTCCAGAAAAGGTCCCTCCTGACTGCTGCCAGCACTGGCAGTGTTCAGCACCCCTTGGTGTGCCAGGGCCTGTGGCAGCACAGCTGTCTATCCGTGACAGTTAATCTGATTGTCAGCTTGATTGGATTAAGAAACCCCTACAGAGCTGGTTGCAGTGAGAGGGCACTAACTTCTCCCCAGGCTGTCATGGAGGAAACCGTGCCTTTGAAGAGGATGTCGTTTCTTGGGCTTTCTCCTTACTCTCTGCTTCTGGGCTGGCAAGAGGTGAGCAGCTTTCTTCCACCACACTTTGCTGCCATGACGTTTCTGCCTTAGAGCCAGATGACCACGAGCTGAAACCTCTGCAACCGTGCGCCGAAGTGTTTCCTCGTCTACATTGTTCTTCTCGGGTGTTTGGTCCCAGTGATGAAAAGCTAACTCACTACCTCTGTCTTCACATACCCATTTTCTCCAAGTCTCCGCTCTCCTGTGTATCCGTGGTCCCCCTCCTTTAACAAAGGACACCTCATACTGGATTAAGGGTCCACTCACTCTGGGGACCTCAACTAATGGCATCTGCAACCAGCCTATTGCCAACAAGACCTAAGGTGACATCCTTTTCTGAGGAACAGAATTCAGCCCCTAATAGGTGTTTCATACTTGCTACACCCCTTAATTTCAACAGCAGCCTGTAAGAGACCTGAGTCTCCCGATGTCACAAGGGGCAACCTGAGGTTGGGGGAGGTGTGACCCGGCCAACATCTCCCAGCCAACGGGCTTCTAGCTCTGCAGCTGTGGCCAGATTCAAGTCTCCTCTCCACTGCAGAAGCTGCCTTGGCCCATCGTGTTCTGAGGTGGTCTCCCAAGCCTGCTACTCAGGTTCAAACCCCACCTCCACTGCTGAGGGCTGTGAGGTTTTAGCACATGAGATCCTATGTGAGAAACAGTACAGTGAACGTGGCTGCTACCCTCACATTCCCAGTGGTGTCTGGCTCTCCGGAACATCTGCTCAAGGATCACACATCCTTATTTCCAGGCCACAACCAGGATCACTTTTGTCCTCTCCTTGTCACAGGTACCCATAGTGATTCTAGGCAGGGACAGGACAGACTGCTGGGTGGGGTACCAGGTGGGGCACCCTTCTTCCCCTGCCCATGCACCCTACCTGTGCCCCAGTTTACTAACGCCCTTTTAGGTGGGACTCTAGGAAGGTGGAGATTAAAAAAACAAACAAAACAAAAAACCAGCAGTTCTTAATTTCCTGCCTGCTGCACGTGGCTTAATCTCGCCCCTCCTCCAGGCCTGCAGGGGGCTCCAGGGGAGATGGGCAGATTAAGAGCAACGCTTCCGACATGCCCTCCCACCTCTGGGAAAGCAGCCGCCTCCGCAGCAGATTTCCTCAAAGCCCAGCGAGGAGCCGCCAGAGGAATGTGTGGCCTCCCTGGCATGGCAGACATTCAAGGGAGCCCACCAAGGCGATGTGAGGAAAGCCCTGGGAGCACAGCGGCTAGGAAGGGAGCGCTGCGTTCTGGTGACTGGGACTGTTCGTTTCTGGGATGGGAGCTCCGCGACCCAGTGCGAGCACGGGGACCCACACGGCTCACAGTTAATTCACTTCACCGCCTCCTATTGAAAAACCTATTGCAGGGGGTGGGGCGGGGGTGGAACCACCGGTCTGCACAGGTAGTTATTTCTCTGCCTGGGGCCCGCCTGGCTCAGAACCAGCTCATGAAGAGCAGGAAGTGATTGTGCAGGCTTCTGCCCCAGCCGGGCACTGCCAGCTCTGAGTTCCAGGGTGCCTGGGAGCAGCTTCCCCACCCTGCCTCCCCCACTACCTGCATTTTGGGTGGTCTTTTCATTGTGGGACAGGATTGTCTCTTAACTGCCAAAGCTAGAGTTGGAGTTCCTTGCACCTCTTCAGAAGTCCCTGGGTTCTGTGGCACTTGGTGAGCATGGGGCAATCAGGGGACTGTGAGGAAAGCCATTCTCTTCCTGCAAGCAGCCTGCAGAGCAGGGAAGTTTGCAGAAGAGAGCAGAGGAGCTGGCGTGGTGGTACACCAGGAATCCCACACTCGGGAGGCTGAGGCAAGGGAATCAACACAAGTTAAAAGGCAGTTTGGGCGACATAGTGAGTTCAAAGCTAGCCTGAACTACATAGTGAGACCCTGTCTAAAACAAACCAAAACAAAACAGAGGTGTGCGCCCAGCTTACTGCTACAGAACAGAAGCAGAAAGTTTAATCCAGCCTCACAGAGCCAGCAAAGCTCCTGGAGAAGTCCTCTGTGAGGAAATGGAAAGAATGAAAAAGAGTGAAGGGGTGACCTGAAAGCGTGAAAACCCTGCAGCCCAAAACAGCATGGCATCATCTTAGAATATTCTGGAAATTGAGATTGTGGGGGTGATTATGGTGGTAAGAGGATTTGCATCAAAGACACAAAGTTTAGAGAATTAACTGCAGATTTCAGTATCTGAGGGGAATACTCACTTCAAATGTTAGAGCCAGCAGCCCAAACCAGTCCTGAGTAAATCACCTGGTAGGAATAATTTGTAACTGCTTTTCTTCCTTATATCACTGAGTTTTTACTACACGTGAGCCGTGTGCCAGGCCCTGTGATTGCTGACAATGGGAGATGGCAAACACACTCTTACTGTCCCCATAGAGCTCACACCCTGTGGAGACAGAATCTTAGCTGGGGTGGTTGGTGTCCCGGAAGTCACAGGTGTGCTAGGGCTCCCGCCTGCTCAGCCCTCCAAGACCGTCTCTGAGAGGGGAGGTGGGAACTTGGGGAAGAGACAGGCCGGGAAGATGAGGAGAGGAAGGGACAGGGCCAGAGAGACAGACCCCGAGACAGAGAGAAACAAGGATGGGAACAGAGAGAGAAAGGTGGAGGAAGTCAGGTGATGGAAAGAAATTGATCAAGTAAGATAAGGACAGGGACAAGACACACTGAGGGAGTGAGAAGAAGAAAGAGGGAGAAACACATGGACATGCAGAGAGGGAGAGGGAGACAGAGACAGAGAGACACGGAGCTCTGGCCCCTGCCGGCTGAGGGCTGCTGTGGCTAGTGTTCTAGGTGCCCCAAAGGCAGAATCCGAGCTGTCGTGCTGGGAGAGCCAGGCCTTCAGTGGCTCTCCATCTCCACACACACCCCAACCCCACAAATCTGTGCTCACTACAGGGACAGCCTGTCGTGCCTGAGGTCTTAGTCACCAGGGGTCCTCCAGGGCTGTCTTTCAAGTGGTGACCTGTATGGTCCAGGCAAGGATGCAGGGCACGCACAGTGTCCAAGGCTGTCGTGCTGGAGTGCCCCAAGAGGTCTGAGGCCTTGATTATACAGCTGGGAGGGGGAGGTCCTGAGACAGGCCTTCATCTAACGACCACAGGGATCAGGACCTGTGCCTGGCACTGCAACCCCACAGCCAGGCTGGCGCTGGGAGCTTATTTTACAGATCTGGAAACCAAGCCCACGTGAAGTAAAGGACTCACACAAGGCCAGTGGGTGTCACCTGGCCAGCAGACTTACCTAGCAAGCTCACTGCTGCTATGCCAGGCAGGGTCCTTCTTTGTCACAGAAACCCTGAAAGCAAGTGTGAAGAGCTCTGCTTTCTTGATGAAGGTAAAAGAGGCCCCAAGCACTTGGGCAGCCTACCCACAAACCTTGCTGGGCTCTCTCCAAAGCCCTGAACCCCTCCCTCCCTTATTCCTAACCCCAGGACCCGTGCCCTTTTCCCCAGGGCCTCAGCATTCAGGACCCTGGAGGAATCAGGCCAGGGCTCCTGATGGAGACTCAGTGTGCCCACGGGCATCTGCTGTGCCCAGCCCTGCTGCAGCCCCTTCCTCCCACCCAAGGGGCTTAGCCAGGTCCTCAGAACTCAGGCGTCCTCGGGCAGTCCAAACTCCCACAATGAGCAGCAAACCACAATGGGATTAGCAGCGCCTGTGACGTGGTCACCAACAGAAATCACAGACCCTTGCCTCTCATGACCCAGTCGTTGCCAAGTCCCAAATTGTCAGTCCTGCTCATCACACTGCAACTTCTGGAGCTGTCAGTCGCACTGCTGTTATCTAGTGTGTTAATAAAGCATGTGTATGTTCTTTTTCATATCTTGATAGTTGTATTTCAAAATCACCTTTCCTTAGAGTTGTTATGGAAAGTCATTTTTCTGAAAAGGGTTCAGAGGTTTCCCCAGATGCCCAACAGTCCTGGGCACACAGAGGGTTCAGAAGTTCTCCTACTCAGATTTAGCAGAGGTCACAG